TGTAGTTCAGTAACATTAAGAGAAAGTATTATACTGTAATTAATATAATATAAGAAATGTGATTTTATTTGATATTGCCCAACTGACAGCAAAGGACAAAAATGATGCAGTTAGAAATGCATTATATATTAAAATAACATGGGTTATTGGTGGCAGGCATGTAACATTTAGTTTCTGATCATTAGCTTTGGTAATCATTAGCTTGGTTGATGAAAAATAAAATATTCACAATACTGAGTGAGCAACTGAAAAACAAGCAGCTAGTTAATCAAATTACACACCCTCCTGAAATATAGACTGCCAGAGCGGTCCCAGAGTGTATTAGCATGGGCCTTTCACCGCTTTTATGGGTGGGCAGTGAATTCTGTGTTTGGTTTAAGGTGATAGAGGTTTCAGTGGCATCTCCTATGTGAACTTTAAAAGGTTTCAATGCAATGTCTATAAAGGCAATTTCATTTTCCTTAACCAAAATGGTTTTCAGATGCTGACCTTCATGTAGTGTTATTTGTGATTTTCAGTGTTGCTCAGTTTTAACTATAAATTTCCTTTCTTTGGTCAGATTTATTTTATGCCTATAGTCTATCAAAATGATAGAGACAAAAATATTGTTGCTTATTAGGTTGAGGTTTACTTTTAGAATCATTTCCTTGTGGTACCATGAAGATACACTAGGCCTTTGAGCTTCAACTTTGTCCCTGCTGAGTAGTGCAATGATATCTTAGGGAAGTCTTGTCTAAGCCTGTGTTTGCCCACCTATAAATCAGAGATAATAATATCCACCTTAAACCTCTTCTTGAGAACTAAAAGAAATAATGTGTGCCATTTGCCAAACCAGGCATAGCAATTTTACTCAGAACATTGCTGTTGCTTAGTATTGTTTCACATACACAGTGTTTCAGAACATTGACCCACTAGCCAACTGCCTGGAAGAGATCTGGTCTAAAGATAGCATGTACAAGTCATTTATATTGGCTATGAAAGCATCTTAATGGCTGTTATGACTGGCTTTAATATACACAATTCGGAACCTCCATTGTTATTAAAATAGGGCTTTCAAGAAAATGCCAATGTCTTCACTTGGTCAACTTTAATTCTTCCATGGAGTGTGTATATTGCAAGTTAATTTGTTAGGTAGTAATGGTAGGGTTTTTCTTCCCACTATTTCCTTGCATTTATTTCCTGGTTCTGATCATTTAGGTAGTAGCACCTAGCAGGCTCAGGGCAAATGCTGCTGAGAACAAAGAGCTCCAGTGCTACTTCTGAGCTTCATACTAGGATTTTTATCTAGCTGTAGATATAGCTGTAGAAGATTGTAGCTTTTGAGAGACAGAAAATTTGCTGAGTCACTGAAAGCAAAGAGAACTACAAAATAGTCCATTTATAGCAGAAGTAGAAGACTACATGGGTAGAATAACAATCTACAGTCAGATAAAAGTTGGCAAGCACTCCCAGTGACAGACCTGAATAAAGGAGAAGAGGCTCTGTGATTGGGCATACACATAGTGCTTTGGAAAATCCACAACTAGTCGAGTAACTAGAAGAGAAATGGTCAAAAATAGACCATTTACCTTGACCATGAGTACAGCAGGCTACGGCAGGCGTAGCACAACCAGAAGATGGTATTTGGGACCAGTTCTGCAGAGGCCAGGGAGGTCACACAATGGCACTTGACCCAGGATCCCCACCCCTGCTTACAGAACAACTTAGGTTCCCCAGGAGCTTAGAACACTTCTAAAAAGAATAAAATAATTATAAAATGAGTGTTTACCCCAAGAGTTTGAAACCGAAGTCTTGATGAGATAGACAGACATTGTCACAGTTTGTCTAGGACTTGAATGTGTTCCCCCCAAGCTCATGTGTCGAGCTTGGTCCTCACTGAGGTGATGATGTTGAGGTGGACAAGGCCTAGTGGTAGGCCCTTACCTTTTAGGGATACACCCTCAGAAGTGGTCAATAATCCTCCTAGGACCCCAATTAGTCCCCAGCAGCTCCTTGACTTGTTATGTGACAATATATTCTATAGTTCTATATGTGTCCCCACCATGATGCCACCAACCATGAGGGGATACTGTAAGGAATCCATGGTCAGAGCAGGAGCTGTGCTGTTTGAACTATCAGCTACCAATATTGTGACCTAAATTAATTTCTTTCCTTTAGACATACCCAGATTCAGGCATTTTGTTATAGTAACAGAGAATAGCCTAATGTAGAACACTAACTAGTTATATATATGTTATATGGAAATAAAAATAATACAATTCTCTATTACTATTTTGAATATTAGTTTTACTACATTTCAAATTTTAGTTTGGTTGGGGTTCTAGCTCACTTCTTGATGCTGTAATAAACAACATAACCAAAAGCAACTTGGAAAAAAGAGGGTTTATTTCATCTTGCATCATAAAGGGAAGTTAAGGCAGAAACCTGGAGACAGGAAGTGAAGCAAAAGCTATAGGGGAACACTGCTTACTGGTTTGCTCTCCATGGCTTGCTCAGCCTGCTTTCTTAAACCTCTCAGGACTACATACCAGGGGTGGTACCACCCACAGTAGGCTTATCCCTCCAATTATTAATCAAGAAAATAATGCACAGGCCTGCCTATGGGCAATCTGATGGAGGTATTTTCTCAACTGAGGTTTCCTCTTTCCAGATGTTCCTAGTTTATGTCAATTTGATAAAATAATAATAATAAAAAAATCAACCAGCGGGATTGGTTCTGTAGTCTGTTTGTTCATTTGAAACTAAGTCCAACACTGGAACTCTGGCTGGCCTGAAGTGCACTATGTGACTCAGAATGGCCTATACCTCCTATACTACTCCTGCCTCAAGCCTGTCTTAGTACTGGGACCACAAACAAGCTCGAGGTACTATACCAGTTTCTCTTTATCCTTGATTACTATGAAAGCCTCCATTATCTGAAATAATTTTAATGATTAAAAAAGAACAATATCTGTCACATAATTTAACTATTATAAAATTGAAACTAAGAGCATGCATCATTATAAAAATAGGCTGATCATTATTTTCTCAAGTATGACACCTAATCTCAAGTAGCTTTAATTTATTTGCTTTCTACATTTAAAAATGAAGTTTCAAATGCATAACTGGAGGGTTCTGGTTTGGCTAGACTTCAGCTCAGGTCTTGAATAATAATCACGACAGTTGTCTCCAAGAAGCCCTGGCTAGACTCCCCTGAATAGTTTCCTAGCACTGTATAGATAAACAAAACATACCCATAGCTATAAGACTAGATATATCACCTTCAGAAGCAGGAATATGGCTGATGCTGATGTTAGCCTGAGATAAAACCAGGTGCACTGTGGGTTAGAAGAAAGCCACTCTTTTAAGTCCTCTTCCCTCTGACCCATATAGGGATTTGCTTCTGGTGTAATTCCTTGTGATAGTTAGGGCTGTCAGCTTAACAAAAGTTAGAATCACCTCAAAGATGAACCTCTGAGCACAACTTGGGGGTTATTGTGATTATTTGAAGTTGGGAAGACCCACCGACTGTGGGTGACCCCATTCCCTAGGCAGGGCATCCTGTAAACAGAGCACTCCCATGCAAGTAGCCATTGTTCTTTTGGCTGTGGAAGTAATGCAATCAATGGCATTAAGCTCCTCGTGCCCTGACTTTCTTGCCATGATGAACTGTAACCTGGAACTATAAAGTAAAATTAGCCTTTTCTCCTGTCTGTTGCTTTTGTCATAATATTTTATCAGGGCAATGGGAAAAGAACCTCCAACAATCCTCAATAAAGCATACTCTGCAACCTGGCATCATTGACTCAGGGGTCCCGCAGCACTGTCTGCCTATCTGTTCTTTCACACTGCGTTTTCCTGAAACAATAACTCAAGCTGTTAGTGATCACATTTATAAACTTAAAAGGAGATTGGAAAACTAGAACGTTTATCATGCATATTGTGCTAACATATATATCTAGACATGCAGCATCTAGTTGAACCTTGTCTCAAACTGAGCACAGTGAGCGCTCCCACAGTCTCTAAGTTTAACCATTGCTGTTTGTAATAGCATGCCTGTCTGAGTCATGGAGCAAAGCTGATTATGTTACAGGAACAACCATGTGAAGTGTTAACTGTAGTAAGCCATGCTAAACCATGCAAACACTATTAACAGCAGGCATAATGAGATTATTAATATCAGGTTTCCTATCAGCTACACACTTACTGAATGTTAAGCATATATAGGAAGGTGAGAAAGGAATTCAAAATATCTTCTCAATGTTGATCCTTTGAAATTATTTAATCCTACAAGTGAATATTTTAAAGCTGTATCTTTAATAATTAATATTTTATTTTTGCTTCTCTGTAGCTGTGATCAATAGAGCATGAAAGAGAGCAATTTTATCTTCAGAGGTGTTTTTACATTCAATTTATTACCATTGACCAAAAAATTGCCTTTCAATGTGGAAAAATGTCTCTTTGAAGAGCTTTATTGTATGCCTACCTTATACGATACTATAACTTTATTTTAGTCACAATATAGGAATAAAGAATTTATAGACTGAAGAGTAAACATAAATTTTTGTATTGTAACATTCTAAAACACTTTATTTAATAAAAAGGAAAATGATTGCTACCTCCTGGAGAAAAGAGGAAACTTTAATAAAATAGTTGATGCATTAAACATGTAATGCTATTATCATGAATATTAATATTCATAGGCTACTGCAAAGACAGTTGTAAAAACACTAATAAAAAGTTTGAAATACATAGCTGTTTTATAAATATCTCAGCAGTTTAAGTTAACAATCGAAAATCCAGTTGTTTCTTCTAAACTTTTACTTTACAGGGTGGTGAATTCAACATTGTTATAAGCAAGCATTTAGGAGATGACCGTTTGAATGGCGATACTCTTTTGCTAGCAGTAAGCACTGCTAGTAAGTGCTAGTAAGCACTGCTACTGTCTACCTAGTGCTATGCACTACAGATGGGAGGCCACTTTAACCAACAGATACCCAACTGAAACAAAAAGAAGGAAGAGGAGGAGGAAAAAGGAAAAGGAAATATCAGCCATTGAGACAGGCCTCTACCACTGGGTTCTGGCTCACAAGAGACCAAAGGATCTTCACAGGATTCTTTCACACAATGCTGGTGGTCTGTTCTGTATTTCACAGGCTTCTTTCACTCCAAGGCGCTTTTTTAACTCAGATGCAGTTTTTTCCAGCTGTTGGATGTTCCATTGCCATTTCCTCCTATTTAACTGAATCTTGTTCACCTGACAATGCAAACGCTTAAGAATTGCCTCATATCTCTTATGTTGTACCTGTTAGAAAACATTACAACAGTGTTTGTGAGCATACATAACCAATAGTTAATAACAAATGCTCTAACTCCTCTATAGGGAGGCACTCAGTTAGAAATCATTCATTGAAATAATCAACACAAACAAGAATTATCTAAGTATTTAACATATTTCCAGTGCTTATGTTGAGGGTATTATTATCGTGTGGGTGTGTGTGGGTGTGTGTGTGTGTGTGTGTGTGTGTGTGTGTGTGTGTGTGAAGAAACTGAAAATCAGAGTAATTTGAACACAATTTCAAAGCTCACAGATAGTGGTGTTTGGGATTTGAACTCAAACATCCAGGATGGAACACCCTTCACTTGTGAAGGCAGTTAGTTACCAGTGATAAATAAATGTGCCTGAAGAGGCCTGAAGGTGCCTCTTTATTGAGTCCTATCTGATGAACTGAAATCTAAACTGAGATCTTAGAAGTATGTATTTGTAGCACAGCTGACTCTCAGCAAATCACTGTAGCCATGTTTCAGTAACTCTCAGCAGAGCTGAGGAGACCACAGTCATTATGAGCTGTAACCAGTGGAGCTGCTGCTCTATCTCACTGCTATTTACTGTCCAGAAATGCAATGCTGCCTTCCCACACCACAGGTGGCTTTCTGAACCTCCTCTGGCTCTGAGGACTTACCAATTCATGAGTCATTCATTGTTCTATTACACTCAGTTAAATTTAATTGTTCTAATGTCTTTCTTCTACCACTACATTAGTTAAGAGAAATGGTTGTTTTCTGTATCAAGTGGATCACTGAAACATATATATCTATAGTGTATGTGTGTGTGTTCTCAATCTTTCAAATGCCTTTAATAAAGTTCCTCTTGTTGTGGTGACTCCAAATTATAAAATTATTTTTATTGTTACTTCATAGCTGTGATTTGGCTACTGCTATTGTAATGTAAATATCTGTGTTTTATGGTGGTCCTCGGCAACCACTGTGAAAGGGTCATTGATGGTCATGGCCCACAGGTTGAGAAGATGTAGTTTACTTTCTTGCTATTAAGTAATTGAGTAAATTTACTCTGAGCCAGACAAGGACACACTGCCAGGTAATGAAACAGTGGAAATTACAAGTGATGTGGTGTCTGGACACAAGAAGGGAAAAAAGGTTTATCCATTTATTTGCAAATTTCATAATTTCTTGTTTTTTTTTTCTCTTTTAAAATCTAAAATTTATTACTGTAGGCTCATAAAATCAAGAATAAGTACTTCCTTAATTTCATATTTTCTAAAAGCTGAATAGAATTCAGTACATGTACTACACTGTCATTACCCTTTCATAAGTAGAAGAATATTAGGTTGTTTCTATTTCCTAGGTTTTATTGTGAGTAGAGCAGCAGTGAATGTGGCTGAGAAAGCATCTGTAAAGTAGGGTGTTGAGTCCTTTAGTGATATGCCAAGAGTTATTGCTAGGTCATATGGTAGATCTACCTTTAGCTTTTTGAGATTTGCCACCCTGATTTCATAGTGGCTATGCGAGTTTGGAATCTCACCAACAATGAATGAGGTTTCCCTTTTCCCCACATCCTCACCAGCACTGTTGTGAGGTCTTCACTTGATGTCAGCCATGCTTAGCAGGGTAAAATGAAATCTCAAAGAACTTTTAATTTGCATCTTCTTAACTGCTAAGGATAATGAATACTTTTAAAGATGCATCTTAGCAAATTTTCTGGCTTCTTTTGAAAACTCTGTGTTCAGATCCATAGCCTATTTTTAATTGGATAGTTTGTTTTCTTGACTGCATTTCAAGTTTGTTTTGTGTGTGTGTGTGTGTGTATTCTGATTAGCAATCATTTATCAGATGTATAGTTGGCAAGGATTCTCTCCTACTTTTTGTGTGAGATTCTGAAGGCAAGACCTGATTTTTGAAGACACCACATGCTTCAGACACAGGGCTTAGAGGAAACAAGCCAAAACTGATCTGGAAGCCTTCTCCCTGGGACCTAGATTTCATAGCATCCAAAACTGCCAAGGGAGTAAGGAAACTGAAAGTTTTAACTAGCTGTAAAGCTCATGAGCCACAATGATGACCAGAATGGCAAGACATATTCCATGGTGCACAAGTAGCACTTATATCTCAGGGGTAATGAATAGCCATCTAATTAGACTTAATGCTCACTCAATGCTTGGGGAGAATTCATGACTGTCACTATAAATCTAGTCAGCTACCTGTAGCTGGTAAGGTCATGGGCCCTAGAGGAAAATGTACTGATGTTGCTGGTTTCCTGAACCAATATAATTCCCAACTGCATTCTGAATATACATCCTTATCCACAGTTAAGTGTAGCTCTTAGCCATCAACAAAGCTTCATTTTGCAGCAAAATGAATATTTTAGAAATATGCAGCTGGTCAAAGTGTAGAGAACAACTAAATAGATATCTGTCCCCAAGAGATACATCTAAGTAACAACTACACCCAAGGTACAGAGAACATGGTTAAAAAGAGGGGCAAACGATTCTAAGAGCCTGAGGACCAGATGTCTGCTACAAGACAGTGCCCTCTTTATATGACAGTCACATCCATGAATTTTTCACAATACATTCCCCTAAACAAGACCAGCAGACATTTCAATAATGATAGGAGACATCTCATAAGGCCTAATGAAGGCCTTATGCTCATAAAGCTCCTAATGAAGAGCTATAGGCAATTTAATGACTACTAAGAGAGGGAAAAATCAGCCTTCTCCAGGGACAAGCCCAGCAATAGATATTGTTTGTACTGACTATGCAAATCATCCCTCTCTTGTTTGTTAAAAGCAGAATAAACTCTGAGTAAGTGAAGATCTTCTGAGTGAATATGTACTGTTGAGCTAGTATAGCATGTTAAGAACTCCAAGGCCTCTGATCCATGGGAAATTAGTGAAGTAATTTCTCCATATGGCTGGGCTATAGAGAGGTACCAAAGAGTGTTTGACTGATTGTGAACAAATGACTAGTGTATTCAAAGACTAGTAAGTGCTGCTTCCTCCTCCTGGATGTCTACAGCCTGTGACTGCTCACCTACAAAGACCTTCTACCAAGGCTAGCTAACTCCTCTCCCCATGCCTAATAAACATATTGAGACTCTGAGTTACGGTGATAGTAGGTAACCTCCATTGGAAGTAGCAGATCCCCAACTTGATTTGTACATGTGTGGCTGCCCCTAGTCAGGGTTCCAGGATGCAAGCAACATGGGTCAATACCCAAGCAACATAAGTCATGGTAGTTAAACAATTCACATATAATCCACTATTTAAATAAGACTATTTAAGCATGTTCACAGACCCATATAAACATAATCACAGTCTGTTTTAAAACAATTTCATTAACTTCCTAAGAATACAAGTAGCCATTAGCACTTAATTCCATTCCTCTACCCTACTGTTCACTAGGCAACCACTAATCTAATTTTCCTTTTATACATTTGCCAATCTGGACATTCCATACAAATAGAATCATACAACAGGCTTTCTTTGTAACTGGCTTTCTTCATCTTGCATATGCTTGAGGATCAGCTATGAAGTAGACTAGATCAGTACTCCATCGTTTTTACTGTCAAATAATATCCCATTGTATGATATATCACAGTTTTGCTTATCAAATCCATCTGCTGATAAACATTTGAGTTGTTTCCCATTTGTAGATATTATGATCATTCTATCATGAATACTCTATAAGTCTTCGTGTGCACATGTGTTTTCACCTTTCTTGGCTATAAACCTAGGTAGAGAGTTATTAGGTGATGTAGCAACTTCATGTTTCATCCTCTATAGAACTATTTTCCAGAATGGGAATTTTACACTCCCACTTGTAATATGTGACGGTTCCAATTTCTTTACACCCTCAAAGTATTTATTACTATTTGCCATTTTTGCTAACAGCCATCCTTATGAATCTGAAACAATACTGCATACCTAAACATTTATTTTTATATTTACTTAATGGTGTGTGTGTGTGTATGTGTGTGTGTGTGTGTGTGTGTGTGTGTGTGTAAGTGATATGGAGCATATTTGTGGAAGTCATAGGACAACTTGTAGAATTTGCTTCTCACCTTCCCCCGTGGGTTCTGGGGATCTAACTTAACTTAAGCTTGATAGAAAATGCCTTACTCACTGAGCTATCTCTTCAGCCCAATATTTATCTTAAATAAAGTAGTACAAGTATATAATAATAGGGCCAAAATAGGTACCTATTATATATACATATATATATTATTTACACACACACACACACACACACGCACGCACATTTTACTCCCAGGACCCAGGTTGGGCCACATGCTCAATCTCCCCTTGCTTCTACCTCTTGTTTAGCTCCTCTGTTAGTGCTCAGAGCTCTTTCTTGTACTTACAAACTAGATACTTTTGATAATATGATGAATACTATATATTACTTCATATTCATAGAACATATTTTTAAACACACAAAATAAAATTGGATGACCAAGGAAAGCAATCATGTTGAAATATCACAGCAGAAGAACTTGATGACAATATAAACATTTCAAAATACTGATACAAAAACAAAGAACTCATCAACTACCCTTCAAATAAACTGCAATGTTATATAAATATATAATGTATATACATATATTCAATGCTTGTTAATTTTGCAAATTCAGATGATGTATTCTACTTAGCAAACCAGGCTTATTGGCATGCTAGGAACACAAAAATGCCTGTATAAGGATTAAAAGTAAATGAATATAGACTCTGACCAGGGAAGCAGGTAGGCTAACTGGAGATTGTCACCTCTCCTTCAGCTCCTCCAAATCCAACACCCCAGTTTCACCTGCAGCTCTGCAGCAGACCAACCAGCTGTGGCTACCTTCCTCCACCCCTGATCCCTTCTCCAGGGAATCACACAGAAATTCCATGCCTAACTTCCCTCCCCCTACTCATTGCTTTATCCCACACCCCAACTCCATCAGGCATTCCCTGGGAACTGGCAGACCACTCCAGCCAGGGAAGCAGACAAGGCCAACTGCAGATCTACA